TTTATTATTATTTCAAATAACTCAAGGTGGTGAACTATCCAACATATCTTCCTCCTTCTATTTTCCCTACAACAACAACCCTATGAATGTGGGTTGGACTGAGATAGAGTGACTAATCCGAAGTCTCTCACCTGGATTTCATGGTTAAGTCAAGACTTGAACTCATAGTCTCCCACTTTCTAGCCTGGTATCTATCTTAACTTCTAGACCAAATTTGCCTTATATTCCAAAGTCTATACAAATTCAGTCAGTAAAAAGCTTAAAAGCAAAGTTAATATGCAAATGGACAGAACTACATTTCATGCCACCTCTATCTTGATCTCATACACCACCACCCTTTCAGTATCCCTAAATATATAGCAACAGCAGTAGAGTTAAATACCGCCCATAGTGTTTTACAGCACTATATATGTTCTAAATTTCTATATAATCAAGGGAAAAACTGTATACCCCCTGTTAATTTGGAAAATCTAGACACTCTTTCTGGTACTGAAAGTGATACTCACCTACTTCAGGTTCCCTCCAGATTATTAATCCTGGCAGGTAGAATACTTAACCTGGCAGCAATAGAGAGAAGTATATATTTTATTACATATTGGAGTTTCCAGGAAAGTGACTAAATTTTGCAATACAGTCAAAACCACTGAATTGAATTGGAATTCACCTACTGTAAAATTTGAAATTTATTGCCTTCTTCAGTTAATGTCCTTAACCAGTATAACCAATTTATATTAATGGGTGTTTTTATTTTGTTCCATATTCCTACCTGGACATTTTGTCCCCATATATTATTTTAAGCTCTTGGACTTTGGCTGAAATAAAGCATATTTATCTATCTATTCTTCCACATAGAAACCATTCTGACAATTAGTCTGTGAGAGATACCAACATAGCAACTGTTTTGTTACTCCTTGAGCTGTAATAGTAGGAGTTCAAATGGCTGCATGTTACAGCTCCATAAATCATTAAGAATTGTTGCCCAAATTATTTTCTTTTCCTTTTCTTTTCCAACCTGTTTTTCTACTGTAACTATAAAGAGTGTCAAGTCTTTTATTATGTGATAAGCTGCTGTGGGACTTTCCAAGGAGAACTAATGCCTTTCAGAACAATGGAGTATAAGAATTAATAATAGCAGAACAGTAGGTTATTCAATTCATTTTGACAATAAAGAGAATTTAAGTCCATCTGTATCTTCTTACTTATGAAACACTCTTTTCTGCACAAGTTGCTGTTTGCCCCATTAGAAACAACATAGGACTGAATGTTTACTGTATTACCTTTTGACCAGGAACCATATCTTTGCCTAATAGAATCTTATATTATGGAACAGACTTTACTATTTAACACTAATAAGATTTACTTATTACTATGGAAGCATAACAAATCCATGAATTCTACAACTGCATTAAAAAGAACTAGGTCCTGCTGTACAATTGCTTGAAATAAGAAAATCAAATATTAAATCATGGGTTATATTGTAAATTCTTCAAAAATCCCCCTTTCTCAGTATAGCATATGTTATGTAACGTTCTTTGCTTTTGGGATTGCATAAACACTAAATGGTAAAAGACTTCTATAATATGTGCTTGTTTATTGGATTGCTTAGTTTTGCCAAAAGATTACAAAATATAGGATTTGTTATGAATACAGAGCAGGAAGTTCAGTTAAATGGATCAGTGGAACTAAGATGATAGACATCATAGTCAGTAAACTATAGAATTCTGAACAAAGAAAATATCCTGAATATGTTGAAAATAAAGAGAAATAAATGTAATATGAAATGGATGATAGAATTAAATTGTCAACTCTTCAAATATAAAATAGTGAAACCTTTAGGGGAGCTCAAATATCATATTCATATAAAATGTAGAACCATTTCATAAATTTATTAAAATTGATCTTGGAGCTTCCTCTGCAAGCAACTCTATTGGCACCAAATAGGATTCTTGATCTACAGTGTTTGCTAAACTAATAGAAACCTAAGTGATTTTGGTTTTTTGCCCCTTTTTTGGAAATGTACTATCTTAATTTCTGACTATGCGTATTTCATATGCTTAAGGTCTATTTTTCCTGTCTCAACAACTCATACAATTTTCTTTGTTTGGCACCTGTTTCTGGATGGACAATATCAGATATTTAGTTAAGATTCTGTTCACTGTGTCTATATCTGAAAGAGACATTCGTGACAAAAAGTCATCAAAATAGAGTGATAGAATAGAACAGTGGTGGCTAAACTTTTTGGGCTCTCGTGCTGAAAATTGCGCTCATGCTTGAGTGTGCACACTTGCGTGCCAGCACCCAAAAGGCAATGCACATTCCTTCCCACGCCTCCTGTGCATGCATGCACAACTCCCTTGCATGCTGCACATCTCTGCGCATGCACATGCAATTCCCCCCGCACGCCATGTGTCTCTGCACATGCATGTGTGTATCCTGAGCTCCCTGCCCCTGAGCATTTGCACCAGATACCTGACAATCAGATTTTGGGCAGGCAGCGCCTACGCATGCACAGTGGGGCTCTTCTGGGTGACCTCTCACATGCCGGCAGAAGTGCTTTGGTTCACCATCACGGGAATAGAATTTTCTATTATAATAGAAATATAATTTTCACCTAAAAGTAGATTCCTCTTCATAATGTAGTCATTCACTTATATTTTTGTTACATCTTGATCATAACACCATATTTGACTTTTGGCTCTCCTACACTGCAGCCTTCAACTATATATTTCCTCTATTTATTTATTTATTTATTTACTTATTTATTTATTTGTTTATTTGTTTGTTTGTTTATTTATTTATTTGATTTGTCAATTGCTTACAAGATAATAGGTATAAGTATAAACATAGTTATGAATACATGAAATGGATACATATAAGAAAAATAAAAGAAACAATAGGACAGGGACGGTAGGCATGTTGATGCGCTTATGCACGCCCCCTACAGACCTCTTAGGAAAGGGGTGAGGTCAATAGTAGACAGTCTAAGGTTAAAGTTTTTGGGGTTTGGGGGAAGAAACCACAGAGTCAGGTAGAGTATTCCACTCTGTTGCTGAAGTCGTATTTCCTGAAATCAAGTTTGGTGCGGTTAACCTTGGTTAACCTATCTATTGTGTGCTCTTGTATTGTTATGGTTGAAGCTGAAGTATTCATTGACAGGTAGGACATTGCAATGTATGATTTTATATACTATACTTAGATCGGACCGAAGGTAGCGTAGTTCTAGGTTTTCTAGGTCTAGAATTTCAAGTCTGGTGGCATAAGGTATTCTGCAACGAGTAGAGGAGTGGAGAACTCTTCTTGTGAAATATTTCTGGACTTTCTCAACTGTGCTAATATCAGATACATAATGTGGGTTCCAGACTAATGAGCTGTATTTGAGTATTGGTCTAGCAGATGTTTTGTATGCTCTAGTTATTAGTGTGATATTACCAGAGAAAAGGCTATGTAGGATTAGGTTAACAATTCTTCATGCCTTTTTGGCTATGTAGTTACAGTGGGCTGTAGCACTTAGATCATTAGAGATGAGTACTCCAGAGTTTGGATCATCAACAAGGTCTTGACTATTCAGCTTGTGTTTTATTTTCTGATATTTTTTTGCCAATATGTAAGACAGAGCATTTATTTGCTGAGATTTGAAGTTGCCATTTTTCTGACCATTCTCATACATAGTTGAGGTCCTTTTGAAGGGTAGCTAGAAATAAGACTAGTTAAAGAACTTCCACTATGAATTTCAAAGCCTTCCTTAGGTTTGATCATAGCAATTTCTTGATGTTCTGTCCAGACCCTACTTACCCAGAGCCCCTGATTGCTATTTCCCCAGCATGTCACCTTAGCTGGAAGCAGTGGTGGGAGTCAAATTTTTTTACTACTGGTTCTGTGAGCGTGGCTTGGTGGGCATGGCTTGGTGGGTGTAGCAGGGGAAGGATATTGCAAGATCCCATTTTCTCTACACTTCACTAACCTGCTTTCCAGCTCCATTCTCTTGTGCAGAGCAACAAAAGAAGACTCAGCCATTCAGCTGAGACTTGGAAGGCATAGAATAGATGGGGGCGGGGCCAGTTAGAGGTGGTATTTGCCGGTTCTTCAAACTACTCAAAATTTCCGTTACCGATTCTCCAGAACTGGTCAGAGCCTGCTGAATACCACTCCTGGCTGGAAGGGTCTATCCTTGCATTATTCTATCAATCAATATATAAAGAAATCTGTGGATTCACTTACATTAACACTTGTTAGAAAAAAAATTCAATGTTTTACTGGAGAACTCATAAAAACAACTATAACAGTGGAAAGCAGTGTCCAGTCACTGGGGGAAAGATTCAATCTTTCCCACCAATTTCTCAATTAACAGAATTATTAGTTTTTTTAAATTTGTCAATTGCTTACAAGATAATAGGTATAAGTAAAAACATAGTTATGAATACATGGATACATATAAGAAAAATAAAAGAAACAATAGGACAGGGACGGTAGGCACATTGGTGCGCTTATGCATGCCCTCTACAGACCTCTTAGGAAAGGGGTGAGGTCAATAGTAGACAGTCTAAGGTTAAAGTTTTTGGGGTTTGGGGAAAAACCAGAGTCAGGTCGAGTATTCCAGACATCGACCACTCTGTTGCTGAAGTCGTATTTCCTGCAATCAAGTTTGGTGTGATTAACCTTGAGTTTGTATCTATTGTTTGCTCTTGTGTTGTTATGGTTAAAGCTGAAGTATTCATTTAAAAGTTCAAGCTTTTAATATCTTTTATGTGTTTCAAGACTGTTTTTATTCCAGTTCATACAAATTATGTTATCTTGGGATTTATGCAAACTGTTAGAGTCATGCAAGTAATTAAACTTCTACACATTTTATAGAAGGAATCTCACATCAGAGCTCCAAGTGCTGTGTTTCAAGCAAGAGATTGGTAATACCATTATATTTAAATTATCTTTCCAGAGAGTTGCTATGATGTCATCCTGTCTCCTCCCACAGTGTAAACTAAACTGTCAAAGTTTAGCTGTCTCTGTGACAGAGAGAACCGCACAGTTCATTGCAGCTGCATTACCTTGTATCACACCCTTCAGCATCTTTAACAGTGGATTTTTTTGTTTGGAAGTATGATATCAAGATTGGTCTTTCTCCTTTTCTGTGGACATTTTGCACAAATCCTTGGAAATGCTGGGAAATTGCCAAGAGGCAAGTAGAAATGGTTCTCATACTTCGTAGGGAAGAAATGCTTAGCCTTAATAACAAAATCTTGTTTTCAGAAAATATGAAAGATTAAGAATGCAGTGAAGGAGAAATGAAATAGTAAAAATTGCAAAAACACATATAAGAGAGACAGAGACAGATGGAGTAATTTAAAACTCTTTGTATAAACAAAGGAAAGGATAAAACATACTTTTTAATTTCTTGACCTAAACAAGGAACACTGTAACCAGATGAAAAACTAGTTTTGTTTATTTTTTTAAACATTTCCTTCTTAGGATAGTATGTAATATGATCTCTGAATTCTGTGGATTCAGTTCTTTCAACTTCACTGTAAACACTTTAAAACTGATTTGATTTATTGTATATCATCAATACTAGTTTTCCTCAATTACTTATCTTTAGGATCTATTAAAATGTATGCTTGCATGCCTATAAAATGCAGTGTTAAGGATTATTGCACTGGACCCAATTTTTTATAATGTGAAAGAAATTATGCAAAAATTTAATTTTTTTAAATATATGTTAATTTGACATTTTAAACTTCTTACTGAAAAACAATCTGTGCTGTAACATTAATATCATATTTATAAATCTTGATTGAACTGCCCAATACATTGGTACTTTTTAACCCTATGGTACTTCCCATTCTATTACTGACTTTGCTGAAATGCTTTTTAATAGAGTGTATGCTTCACAGATGTGCCCATTCTAGAAATTCCTTAAGTAGCATTTTATTTTTTATTCAGTGGGTGGAGGAAAGTTAAGTTAGAAAAGATTTTCCTAGATTATGCATGTATGACATATTTCATGTCAGGTGAATAATGACCTTTTCCCACAAAATAATGTGTTTTTTCTTATTTGTAATTTGAAAAGTTTATACTCTTCCTGCACAAAATGTAGTCTTTATCAAATGCATATATATTGTAATGTATTTATCAAAGGAACTATAGCAACATGTTTACCTTCTGAGTTAAATAGTATAGTACTTTCATTACAACATGTGGATAATTCTATATATCTTCCTTATCCTCTTTTATGGGATAATAATCATAACTATCTGAATGCAGAATTCTGAAACAATATTTTATTTTGTGTCAATGCTTTTTGGCCCAATGCATTAAGGCAGATGTTTTCTCAAATTAAATGGCAAGTGAAAATACTAATTACTATTTTTCATTTTTCCAATTATTCTTGATTTTGGAAAGAAATAACCATCTACATATTCTAGTTTTCCAAATATGTACAGCTGTAGTCTGAGGCTCTTTCTAATATACTGCACTTATTGCAATCTGAGATATTCCAAAGATTTATTTTTCGGTATTTTAAATGTTTTAGGTATTTTAAACATTTAATGACATTTGTTTCTTTGAACTCTTGTATTATTAAATTTTTAAAAAATAAAGAACACACTAAAGTTACTTTTTCCAGTGTAGCATTTCTATTCACAGTCTTCATAAAATAGTACAAAGATTCCAGCTAACAGCAGTGCTTTGAATTCAGTTCACAATGCTAAGAGTGCCAAAGTTATTTTTGGGTAGACTTAATCATTTCAGTGAATTTTATTCCTGGCATTAAGTGATGAATGTAGATGTCCTTTTCCCAGTACAAAAAAGGAAGGGAAGGGAAGGGAAGAATTCCTTGGTACAAGAAGAGGAAAAAAAAAATCCCCCCCTTTTTTTTTACCAAGCAAAAGAAATGTAATAGAAATAGAAAACCAATAAGATGTTTGGATGTTAATTACTTGGATTTAGTATAAAAACTGTTTATAACAAATGTGCTATTCTTAAACCATCAATACAAAGGCTTTACCTTTTGAAATGCTGCCATTTTTTCATATTACATTTCACTCCAAAGAAATTTCAACTTGAAAATTTTAGTAGGGAAATACTATTTTCTGTAGTGGTTACCTAAAATTGGTTTGGTACTTATAGAATCGGTCAAAAGAGATTAAACAGTTATATCAAATCACCACCTGAAGAACAAATGTGACTAGAAATATAAGGCTCTCATCATGGTAATAATTTGTGATGTCATAAAATGATCGATCACACACTGACCCAACTTTATGACCTTCTTGTAGCAGTCATCAAGTGAACGTAGTGGTCATTACATAAATGTGGCAGTCATTAAGCAAACCAAAAGTTCACACACACACAAAAACCAGAAATAAATATCGGTTTTCAGCAAACCCATCATAAAATGCGGTTCATAACTGAAAGATGTTGTACATGGCCATAAATGCAACCTGGCTGCTCAACAACTGTAGTGCAGTCATGTGACCATGGTGGGCAATATCAGAACTTTGAATCCAGGCCATAAGTAACCCTCAGGAACTGTAGGTCTATTGAAATTTTGAACAGTCTCTAAATGACTGGTTGTAAGTTGAGGACTACCTGTAATGCCACAAATAGGATTTTTGATACATCTATAGTAGAAGTATGTAAATACAGTTTCTTATATCCTTATTTTAAAGATAAGTGTATTAATCTGAAACACCTTGCTATTTCTGCCTTTGACATTTTATGGTTTCTTAACTAGCAAGACCCTGTCCAGATCCTCATCTCTAATTAAACTGACATATATGAAATATTAATTTGAATATGCCAAAAATAAAAACAGAGGTAAATGTAGCATGATTGCCCAAATGAGTGGATCAAACAAAATCTACTCCATTTACTGTATGCACTTTAGAATTTCAGATCAAACTCAAAAGTCGCTTGCCTTATTTTCTATATTATATCTTTCTTTAAGTGTTTAAAAACATGACATTTTTACACAGGTCAACAGGTCTTTTTAAGGCCATAGGCTTCTTTCCAAACAATCTCTGGAATACCTGTGTATCTATACAATATTGATTGTTCATGTGGATATTCCAGGAAGAGTTAGCTTTCTATACTTTGAGCATGGTGCTAGCTTCAGTCCTTCAAATATTTTAGGAAATGATTGCTGTATATGTAAACTTATTTCAGATAAACATTGACAGACAAGTAATGCCAGAAGCATCCTGCAATAGCTGCAGATATTTAAAAATTAAGCTGCCTGTTATATGAAATGGAGTGTATACATAGATGTGCCTGTGTAGCTGCAGACAAGGAATAACAATACTGTCAGTAATATTTATTTTAATTTCCATTTCACATGAAATATTAATGGCTGGGCACAAGTAAATGTGGCTAGATGATGTACATATCTGTAAGACATTTAAAATGGGAACAGAGCTGCATTGTCTAATGTTTGTGGTATGCATTTACTATTCCATTTTTTAGTTGTTGACATTTTTAAGCGTTTCTCAAGTTTAGCAAAACCGCAATTTAGTTCTCATCTATTCAGAAGTTTTATTGATTCTCATGTTCCTAAGGAATAAATCCCTAAGAATACCAAAAGACACATTAGTATATCAAATACTATGCAATATTATATGGAATTGTATTAGGTAAAAGTAAATGCTGGATTGAACATTGTTTATTAACTGATTCATTTTATGACTCAAAATTACATACAATTAAGTTTAAAATATGAATACATTTATTTTTCTTTAAAAAATGCAACTTACAGGTAGTTCTTGAATCATGACCACAACTGAGACCAAAATTTCTGTTGTTAAGTGAATTTTTCCCCATTTTATGATCTTTGCATCATTGCAGTTCTTATGTTAGTAAAGTAATTGTTAAGTGAATCCAGCTTCCTTATTGACTTTGCTTGTCAGAAGTTGCAAAAGGTGATCATATGATTCCAGGACATTGCAAGTATCATAAATATGAATTAGTTGCCAAGTGTCTGAATTTGGGTCATGTGACCATGGGGTTGTAAAAAATGGTTGTAAGGGTGAAAAACAGTCATAAGTCACTTTTTTCAGTGTCGTTGAACTGAATTGTAAGTTGAGCACTACCTGTATAAAATTGAATGTTGTGAGATAAATTATAAATCCACAGCAGCATAGCAAATAAACAAAAATAATTTCAGTAGTTAGTAAAAAAATAAGTAAACTATCTTAATTATGCATTTAACTAAATGAAAAGGCCACATGTTATATTGAACAATGAATCCATATTGTGATCAAATTAGGAAAAGAAAAAGCATTGTTATATAAAAAATAGATTTTCTATTGTGAATAAATAAACTCAAATCAGGACTTCAGAATTGAGATCAAATCATATATACCTAATTGTTTAAGTCATCAGCCATACATTTTCTTCTGCCTGTGTCAAGAGGTGTCTTCAATACATAGGTATCAGCTATTTGTTAAATAGCCTCATAGATTAAATAGCTACATAGATACTAGCTATTTGTTAAATATTTCTTCTCAACAGGCCTTTAAATTGGTGATACCTGCTTAGGTTCTATTAAAGCAATTTCACATAAAATAATGTTTTCCATCAGAAATTCAACACCATCTTCACTAAAAAAAATGGAATTAACATAGAAATGTCAGAAATTGGTGGCTTCCAGCATTCCAACTGTCTCTTTGAAGGAAAGGCTCTCAATAGCTCATTGCTGCTGAACAGAACAGGACAGGACAGAACAGGACAAACCATAACTCATAAAACAGTTTTATTTTTTAAGACTTATGAAGGAATAGCAATTCATTTCTTCTATTAACTTTCGTTGTCACTTCACTTAAGACAACTTCTGTTGCCCCACCCCCTTTTTAATCAATGAACATTTTTCCCATTTGCAATAAGTGTGGAACTTTTCTAAAAAGAAAAACAGCATGATTTTCCAACAGCTATCCTTACTTGCCAGAACAGGGTTCTTTTGCCCTTCCATTTTCCTCTCTTATTGCTGCATCTGACTTACCTCTGTGCTTTCCCTACAGCAACCTCCAAAGTGATAGATTCCACCTTCCTGTAAAGGCAGCAATTTTGTTTATCTAGTTTTGTGAGTATAGCCCTGTGATGGCGAACCTATGCTATGTGTGCCAGAATGACACAAAAAGCCATCTCTCCTGACACGCCAGCTGTTGCCTGTTGCTCTTCTGGGTTATG